TTCCATTGTTGGATGGGCATTCCTCCTAGTGTACTCACAGTGAAAATTCAAACACACTTGTCTTTCTGGCCCCATGAATCTCAAATGCTTTTCTCTACTGCTTCCAAAGAGTGCAATATAAAAGGTGGATGGTCCCCACTGATGCAGCTGTTAGCCTGATGCTTACAGGGTATTTTATCCCAGTGACCAGAACCTCCCATCACCGAATACCCAAACCAAGGAGGGAACCAAATTTTCTAATTGCTAAATTAGTATCAAAAGCAACTGCCAGCATTTCCACTTCAGACAAAACTTTTCTCTGTAAGAAAGGATGTCAGCACCTCTCCTAATAGCTGAGGTTCCCAGGTGGCTAAAGGGCCACTGCTGTTCTGAAACAGCTTTCCTTGTGGTAAGAAGTGATCCAGAGCTTAGACTCACTCTGTTCTAAATGTCTCCATCTAGCTTCAGGCAGCCATGGGCTGGCCATGCTGGATTTAGACTGTGCTCTGCTTAGCCTGCTCAGATCTGCTTCTTCTGGATCCCATTAGGAGGTGCTTAACTTCCCACGAAGTTAACACTAACATGGTTCTGGATTCCTCTCTCATGCGTAATATCTGACACATAATCAGAAACAGATCCTGGCCCAAAGCTCCAGCCAGCCAAAAATGGAGAGAAACAGACTGGCTGACATTCTGCCAGGGCTATACTCTCACAGGAATACTGATGCCCATGGGATGACATAGATGTAAATTCATTTGATCCCAGTATTATAGCCTGTAGCTGAAACATTATAAAATTGTAGTGGATACCATGAAAAATAATGGCTTTTCGGATACTTTACACTGCAACAGCAGTTAATGGTTCTGCTCAGATGCTTGGATGAAGCTGGAATGACACCACTTGTAAGATAACATTTCCCCAAAAAAATAACTTCTTGAAATGTCTGAAGCACTAAATTCATGTAAAGGAAAAAAAGAATCCCACCCCCCAACTTCAAATAAATACCCTTCTAAGTACCAGGAACCAGATCCTCAGTTAATAGAAATCTTTTAAATAGAATGGATTTAAGCAATTTAGAGATATTAAGCACCTTTGCTTCAGAATAAATAGAAATTAAAATAAAAATTATTTTTCATTCCCTCCTTTTCACAATTTGTTTTGTTTGGATCTTTCCTAAGGATTGATATGAAAGCAATTGCCTTTTTGGGTAAGTGTGCAACATAGGAATCCAGGGTTTCTTTCAGCAAAGGAGGAAAAAAAGAAATTTTGGAGCTATCTACAACCTGAAATAATCTGCTCTCACTAAAAAAGCCTGACCTTGGTATTTCTAAGACAGGTAATAAAGTGATAAAGTTCATTTCCAAGACAGATGAGAAAATGCACTGAAAATTATTTGTACCAAACTGAAGAACACATTTAAACCACTGTATCTGGGTAGGCTTATGTATCATCAAATTTTACCTCCTGTGTGCCCCATTAAGTTATTGCAGTAAATATGACATCCAAATGTCCTGATATGATCAGAAATTACTGCCTGGGTGTTGCAAAGAACACAGCCAAGAGTCCATTGACTAATGGTAAGAAGGGGATTATATATACTGTGATCTGTTCTTCTGTCTCTATTGGAACCCCAAACTTCTTGAGTTGAGTGGAGTCCATTCACTTCAGTCCTGAATTTGTGCCAATTATTCTGTCAAGGCTGAAGTCATCGAATCTGAGGTCATGTAAGCCAGGCCCTTACCTTCTCCAAACTGGCAGAAGTCTTCTTACTTCAGCCAAGAGAGGACAGTCAAAAGTATGAAAGCGAGACTGGCAGGGTCTCTGGAGAACTCTTGTCTCTTTTGCTATTGCACACATCTCTCCGATCTCTCACAGAATACCATTAATGAACTGGAAACACTGCATCTAGGAATTATATTAGGTTTTCTGTCACTGTCCTATCACACTGGAAAGCTGTTTCAGAATCTGACTACTCTGTTGGTTTGAAAAAGTGAAGTAAAAAGACACTTGAAAATAACAACACTGGCCTGAAAGGGGGGCCAAAAAACTCTATTATATCATTTCAGTTTGTGTCCAACATAAAGTCTGTATTTAGTAGGCATCAGTCCAGCTTGTCTCTAACTATTAGTAATAGTTAGTAACTATTGCCATTTGTCTAAATAGTGTGAAATTTTGATAATATGTCTCACCTAAGTTCTTTCAGACATTTTAAATATAACTGCAACACCTAAAAATATTTCTCCTACCTCACTTGTTGCTTGAAGATATGTGACCATGTAAGGGAGTGATTGCAATTTGGCATGTTCCCACATGCTAGGAGTGGCATAGCAGCAAATCTCTTAGCCTCCAGCAAGCATCAAGTCATCTAATTAACCTGCTTCACAGTCGATTATATTAAACTATATCACCTTGCATTTGCCTCATACACAGATACTTAACTCAGATTTGCAAATAAACTGATTTTGCCTCTAAGCCTTTAGACAAGAGGTCTTAATGGAGTTTTGCACCTCGAGTCAGCTGTGATCTGCCTTTTCAAGACATGCCAGCAATTCAGCCTGTTCGAGTTTAGGTCCAAGGAAAGGCTACTCCCAAAGGCACACTGCTAAGGAAAATACACAAGCTGTCTACAAACCTGGACTGGAAATTATTTACTCAAAACATCTCAGCCAGATGGATAGGTTGGAATTACTTTATGTAGAGCAGGTTGATAAGCGTATGTGCAAGGTTATGTTGCTTTGCTGCTGAGTGTTCTGTGGAAGAATGGCCGCTGCTCTCTTTTCAGGGCCAGTCAACCTACAAAATCTGGTGCATGAAATAAAAATCTTCATCAATAGTGTATATTATGTCATAACTTGCAAAACCTAGATTATTTTGTTTAAGCATTAAAATAAGCACTTTTTGCCTTGAAATGGACTGTGACAATTAATTGGACAAAAATAGTTTCCTGAGATCTGAAGTTACAATGGCAGCCACTTAGCTGAATGCAAGTGAGAAACATGACACATGAAAGTTCATCCCAGATAAGGTTTTACCAAGTAAAAGCTAAAGTAATATTAAAGTAGTGCTTGATTAACAATATTACATTGTTAATAATGTATAAGATTGCTTTTTACCTTGTAACAGATAGGCATTCTCAGGACCATGTTTGTCTTACTGCACTTCAGAAATCACAGGGTGCTGTAATAGCAATTGCCATACTTTGCCTTTGATGTACACTTTTGAAGCACTGCAAACATCACAGTTTAAAACACCTTCAATTCCTGGACTTCTAAGATATATTTTTCACGTTTCATTCAGCCCTTAAGCAATTCCCAAAATCTCACGTGCCCTTGAACTTCAGCATGAAACAAAAGTAGAAATTTAAACTTTGCTTTCCCAATACCAATCTACCTCTGCTGCTCATTCTCCAATAGACAGATCACGGCCAAGGCAGGAAACTGCAAAGCCTGGGGGTAGATTGGCCTCTCCAGTGGTGCTCATAAACTGAACAGCAGGTTGCCCTTGACTTGTCAGCTAGGTCCCACCACAGCAGCATGGCCCTAGTCAGACCTTGCTGGGTTTGCTTCCAAAATAAAGTCTCTATTTAGAGGCTTTTTGGCATTAGAACCTTGCCCTGTAACCAACACGTACCTTCTGAGACAGCAACCCACCCCTTAAGAAAAAAAAAAAAAAAAAAAAGAGAAACCAAATCAAACTCAGTGTTTTAGCTTGGATGCTGACCTTCTCCACCCTGCAGCGACATATACTTTGGTCACTGGCAAACATCAAATCATAGCACCAGAGAATGTTTTGGTTGGATAGGACCTTTAAGATCATCTAGCTGCAATTCCCTTGCCATGGGCAGTGACACCTTTCACTACATCAGGTTGCTCAGTGCTCCATCCAGCCTGGCTTTGGGCACTTCTAGAAATGGGGCATCCACAATTTCCCTGGGCAGCCTGTTCCAGTACCTTGCCACCCTCACAGTAAAGAATGCCCAGTGAGCACCATGATGGGGCCCTCCTTGCATACCCAGTCCCTTTCCCCAACCTTAGAGTCCCCTCAGCTGCATCCTCAACTTGGACAGGGAAGTAACCCCATCAGCCTTCCCTCCACCCTGGAGACACCAGCTTCCTGACACCTCATAGCCTGCCCACTGCCATGCTCCTCCACGTGTGTCCATACACCTCTCAGTCCTGGTGCATCAATCACAGAAGGCTTTGAGTTGGAAGGGACCTTACAGATCACCTAGTTCCAACCTCCTTACATGGGCAGGGACACTTCCACCAGGCAAGACTGCTCGGAGCCCCATCAAACCCAGCCTTGAAGACTGCCAGGGATGGAGCAGACACAATTTTTCTGGGCAACCTGTGCAGAGACCTCACCACCGTCACAGTAAAGAACTTCTTCCCATAATCTAATCTAAACTTACTATATTTCAATCCACTCCCTTTTGTCCTGTCACTACACACCCTTGTGTAAAGTTCCTCTCTAGTTTTCTTGTAGCTCCCTTCAGGTTCTGAAGGCCACAGTTAGGTCATCCCAGGGCCTCCTCCAGGCTCAACAATCCCAATTCTCCAAGCCTTTCCTCACAGGAAAGGCGCTCCATCCCTCTAATCAAGTTCGCGGCCTCCTCTGAACTTGTTTCAGCAGTTTTATATCCTTCCTGTGCTGGGCCCCCCAGAGCTGGATGCAGCACTGCAGGTGAGACGGTGGCAGGAACGACTGGGACGTTGGTGGGTTTTTTTGTTTGTTTGTTTGGGTTTTTGTAGGGTTTTTGGGTTTTTTTGTTGTTGTTTTGTTTTGTTTTGTCCGCACATTATTCCTAACCCGCGGTAGGGAGCCGGGTTGCCCGAGTCCGCGGCGGGGCAGCCCCGCGCTCGGGCGGCCCCGTGAGGGCGGGGCGGCGGCGGCGCGGACGCTGCAGGAAGTGGGCGCGGCCGGAAGCGGGGTGGGCGACTGGGCCGGAAGCGGGGTGGGCGGGCCGGAAGCGGGGTGGGCGGGCCGGAAGCGGGGAGGGAGGGCGGGCCGGGGGCGGCGCCGGGGCCGCGCCGTCCGCCGCGGCTCTGGCCGCCGCGCCTATGGCCCAGCGGGCGCCCCGGGGCCAGGGGCAGGACGAGGAGGAGGGAGCCGAGGAGGAGGCGGTGAGGGGCAGCCAGGCGAGGGCCAGGAGCCATGTGGAGCCCGCGGCGAGCGGCGGCAGGAGCCAGGAGCGGCATGAGAGGAAGCGGAAGAGGCAGGAGGCGCAGCAGCTGCAGAAGATCCAGCACCTGGAGTCTTTGTAAGGAGCGGAGGAGGGGAGGCTGCCCGCGGCTCCCGCCCCGCCTCTGCCCTGAGCGCACCCCGCCGGAATTTGGGGCTCGTTTGCGGTGCAGGGTTTGGGGTTTTTGGGGGGTGGTGATTATTTTTCGCCTGCACCCTTAGGGGTGAGTTGGTAGAAGGATCCGGGTCCACTTGCTCAGTTGCTTGGTGACTTAGGAAGGGCTTGGGGGACAGAAGGGGCTCTCCCGCGTCCCTCCGAGTCTGACATATGCAGCATATTCAGTCCATTTTTTTCAGAATGGACTGGAAAAAAAAAAAGAAGGAAAGAAAGAAAAATAAATTTGGATTAAAAAAAGGTGCTGTAAAAAGTTTATGTTATTTCGCTGAAAAGGAATAAATGTTTTAATGGAATAAAAATGTCAGAAGGTATACAAGAACATGATTTTGTTTTTTTCTTTTCCACGTGCAAGTGAAAATCAGTTTGTTATTAAATGCATCAAAAAGCACTCCGAAGTTATTGTTATAAAGATGGGATGAATGCACTTTACCCACCCTTCTGTTCTTATTGTATTAGGATGATTGTGCCTGGCAGTCCTATAGACATGTAGGGGTGTCTGTGTGTGCACAGCTCAGCCAATCAAATATCACCTATGCCATCAAATTTATGGCTTAAAATTATGCACAGCCAGGACACTTGTTTTGTGTCCTGCTGAGGTAATATGTGGGTTATGTCTGGAAAGTCCTGTTGAAAAGAGTCTTCATAATGCAGATGGTTTCAGGACTCTGGACTTGCACAGTGCTGTTCTTGTTTCATTGAAAAACAATCCCCCCAAAAAAATCTCTAGATCTCCATTCTCTTCTAAGATAACTCTACGCTTTCACTAAGATGGCAGTTTGCAGAAGATGTTGTATCTGTTTAAATACAGATGAGATTTGAGGGGGAAAAATAGCCAATACAAATCCAGTTACACAGACCAGACCTGCATCTTTCTAAGTAATGTGTATTCTTTACCTCCCAGACCATTTTGTATTGCGTTGGCATTTAATTCCTTAGCACATGCATTTTCTCATTTGCTGTGTGCTCGATGTAGTACCTGTTTGCTACCTAGATGTTAACAAATGTTTTATCTATTGTTAGCCCCAAAGAAATGCTGCAGAAAATACGATACTTTGGTCAGTAGGGTTCTGTCTTTAGGTTTAGTGTACAGAAGATGATGAAATTATTATGCATTAGGTTTGGCTGCAAAGCTAGATGTAAGGAACTGTCTGACTTGACAATTTCAGCTGGCTGTGTCTGTGATTCAGCAGTGCTGGACTAAAGAAGTTTGGAGACCTCAGGGAGGGGTGCAGCAGAAAAAGAGGAGAGAATTACGCACGTATGGTAACTGAAGCTAAATCAAGTGTACTACATATCCCCAGGAAGTGGTTGTGCTCCCACAAGAACAAGAGTCTGAAGGATGTTTGCAGGAAACATGTACTAATATGATAAATGCTGTCTCTCAGCTTGCTGTATCCATGTTCTCCTGTAGTTCTTAGTTATAACTTTATATAAGTTATATAGGGCAAAATTTTAGGAAAAATATGAGCTGAAGGCTTTAACTCAATACCACTGAAAAAAAAAAGTATTTTTTCAATTTACTTGTTTGTGCTAAGCTGCAGAGTAATAATATTTCTGTTGCTTTTCAGCTATGAGAAACCTCCCCCTGGGCTAATTAAGGTTGGTAAAAAGTAGTTATTTTCTAGGATTATGAGGGATTTTCACAAAACATGTTCTTTAGGTGTTTAAGTGTCCACATTATCTATATAAATTACAGAGAGAAGTAAGTGCTTCCTAGGAAAAACTCAGAGAATCATTGCAAGCTGACCACTTTGTCTTGGTAATCCAGAGTGAAATGCCCAGGATCAGATAGGAGACCAGGTCTTTCATCATCTCTTAGCATACTTCATGCAGTATTTAATAGTGTGGATAGAGGGGAGCCATTTATGGGAAGCAGACTTTTGGTTTGAATGACATCTTTTCAGGATTCCTCTCTATTGCTTAGGCCAAAATGATTCTTTCATCACGATCATTACTTTTACCAAATTTGTATACCTAAGCCATAAAGTAATGTTTTTAACCTAAAAAATAACTGCTCAGTGTTGTAAAGGCTTCCTTGTAATTGTTATGTCTTTCTAGCAGGAAGAAGACAGCAAAGTCTCTGTTTTGTGTAAAGCTTTCATTTCTATTATTTATTCAGATAAATTACTAAAATGGATGGGAAGGATTGAAATTCCTGTGCAGAAAAGTTCTGGCTGCAAAATTCCAGGGTGGGAAAAAAAGGAAAGGGTCAATTATTTTAGATCCTTTGTGTCTTACAAGGAAAAAAGGTAATGGGACAAATATGTTTCCTGTTATGTGAAAGTCTGTGAACTTGAAATATTAATTCTTGCAAATTTAAAAAAAGGAAGTTATATTATTGTCCTTATCTTTCTGCTTTTTTTTTGAAGGAGAATGAAACAAAACCAGAAGACTGCATACCTGATGTACCAGGCAATGAAAGTGCACGAGAATTCCTGGCACATGCCCCAACAAAAGGGCTTTGGATGCCTTTGGGAAAAGAAGTCAAAGTTATGCAGTGTAAGGCTGAAAATATTCCAGATGTCATTGGACTGTCGTATATCCATCTGTTTGCGCTGGGGGAGGGCAGAATGTGTGGGGGACAGATGATGAAGTCCACGTAGATTGACATCATACTGATAGAAAAGGAAACAGTATCTTGAAGGCTGTAATAGCCTAGTATTTTATGGACATTACATTTATCAACATAGTGGTTGTATTTCTCTGTTTCTTCCAACAGATTGAAAATATTTTGCAGAAATGTGGTTTTGGCATTTTGTGCGTCTTCTGATCTGTAATTCACTGCTGCTTTTTTTTTTTTTTTTAAAGGTTGGAGATGTAAACGTTATGGACACAGAACAGGAGATAAGGAATGCCCATTCTTTATTAAAGGCAATCAGAAATTGGAACAATTTAGAGTAGTGAGTACCAATATTGTAGTATTACTGCTTGTATTTTTTAGTACCAATAATGCATAATCTTGCAACTGAAGATAAGCCTGTTAGTTGATGCCTTATTAAGGACTTTTTCTCTGTCTCTAGTATAACATAGATGCCAAAAATCTCCTAATAAGGAAAAAGCTACAAGTGTGGTTGGATGTTTGACTACTTTGCAGAAAATCTACTCTTCAAGAGGAAAATTAATAATTTTTACATACAAATTGGAAATCTTCAAGAACCTGTTTCAATCGTTATATTCTTTTTTGTGTGTGTGATTAAAATGTCAACATAACAAAAAATGTTTAGTCAAGCTTGAGCTGCCCACATTACAGCTGCTTCAAAGCCTTCTGCTCTCACTGTGACCAAGCACATAATGAATGCTGTTGTCTAGGTCTGTTATCCAGTCATTGTGTACAGGTCTGATCTCTTGCTGCATGAAGCTACATATCAGTTCTGCAGATTCTTCCTGTGTGATCTCTTTAACTATTTCTGTTGCTCTGCATCATTGACCTATATTTCAAGCTGTCATCACTTCATGTCTTAAGTCCCCATTTCTGTCCTTGAAAAATGTAATCTTGACTTAGTCTGTCCAAGTTCTGAATTTGTACCGATTGTATGCAACTGCAAAGAGTATTTTTAGCCCTTTCCCCATGACCAGATTGCCTCTAGTCTTCATTTTCCCTCAGGCTTCTTTGTTGCATTAAACTCTTTGTTGTATGTCCAAGGCCCTTCATAGTGCATTCCCAACGTCTTTCATTTGCTCCTGAAATTTCAGTTCCCACCTCTGGTCAGCATCAGCCTTCTCTCCTCTCAGCTGGACTTGTTTGCTTAATTTTCCAACAGAAATTACCACCCCACCTTTTTTCTGCATTCTTGCATGGCATGAACCCACCTTAAACGTCTGCAAAGTTTATTTGCTGTCTTCCTTCACAGCTATCTTTTGCTGCAGTGGCCATTTAATTTGATTTTAGAACCAGTAATGGTAGTGCATAGCATGATAGAACAACTTCATTATCCATATCTTATATTCCTTTCTTCTGTATTCCTGTTTGTGTATATCCAGGTTTTTTAAATGAGCTGTAAGGGTACAGATCATTATTTTGAACTTGAGTATTCTGTCTAAGTCTGGCTATTTCCACAGATTACGTATGGGATTGTCATAGTTGGCTGTGATTGGAGAGGTAGGGAGATGCATACCTAAGGAGAGTCCCCTTCTTTGGAGATGTAGCTAGATAACCTTTCCCTAAAGCAAATACACCAGTTCAGGTGAACAGTGCTAAGTCTGACAGTGAATTAAGAGCTTGCTAAGTATATTCCATCTTTTGATAAAAGCCTCTTGCATTTGGTTGCTTTGGTTCCTTTTTTTTAGGAAATAAAACCATTGAATTTCCTGTTTTCTATTTTAAAGGCACATGAAGATCCAATGTATGATATAATAAGGGAAAATAAGCGTCATGAAAAAGAAAAGAGGTGAGTGTGTCTGTAGTAAACAGCATTTTCAATTTAGTTTTTATTTTGACAATGTGGCACTAATGTATAGGTGACCTTTATATAGAAGATTATTTGTATCGCAGAACATTTTTTTAATGGCAGTTTCTTTATGTTGACAGATTAATGCATTTCTACTTTCTAAATAATCACTCGAGTACTTCCAATCACTTCAATTCTTTAGCTTTTGTATTTTCCCCAAAACAAAGTTTAAAGAGCAGTTGTATGCATTTATACCATAATACTGAGGTACTTAGGTGTGCTTTTGGTTTAGGCCAGAAAAAACAGTTTGATTTATTTTTTTTCTTTCACTGACTTCACTGAGATGTTTTCTAGAATTTGGTTTGTCAGAATGTTTTCAGTAGAAATGAAAGGGGGGTTTAGAAAGCTAGTTCTAGGCATCTGATATTGCTGCTTTTGTGAGGTCATTATTTAGTACATAAAGAGGCAGTTTTTGATGCTTTCTTGCTTGAACTGTTTCAGTGGGATAACTGAACAAACTATAGGTAGCCTATAGAGCATCACTCTTGGAGAGGAATCCTTGAAGAGGGTACAGACAACAATGAAATAAGCAAATACCTTGTCCCTATTTGCCAGTAATCCTTGAAAGTTCAAAGGAAAAATGCCTTTCAGCATCCAGTTAGAGCCTACTTTGTCAGCTTCACTGACATCTTCTCTGTATCAGCAAGGCAATGAATGTCATATCCTAATCCCAGTATGCCTCCTTAGGCATAAGCATGGGGCAGAACTTCTTATCACTAGGTGGGCTGGTGATAGCTGTTGCCTTATTATTTTGCACACATAAATAAGCCAATAAGCTAGTCGGCCTTTCCTATCCAATGGGATGGAAAGTCCCTGAAAGCAGAACATCTGCTTGCCTCAGAGGAGTTGCTTTTATCAGTCCATTATATTATCTGTAAGAAGAGTGTAATTACGCAAAAGAGGAAGTGTTCCTCTGCCCTTCGCATGCAGCTCAACCATTTCTCAAGCCAGGAAGGAAAGACAAAAGCTAGGGAGGGAGGATGAGCTAGAAGGGATTTTCATTCACATGTTTTAAACTCAGGATACAGCAACTGAAGCAGCTCCTGGAGGACTCTACCTCAGAATCTGATAGCAGTGATGACAGTGATGAGGATGATGAAGATGGCAGCAGCTCCACTTCCTCAGACCATAAACACAAGAAAAAAAAGAGAAAAAAGGAAAAGAAAAAGAAAGAAAAGAAGAAGAAGAAAAAGAGGAAGCGTAAATTATCCAAATCAAATGACAAGTCAGAGTCTGACTGACAGCAGTCACCTGCTGCATGCTCATTGACCTCTCTACTTGTGAACTGCGAAGAAAGATCCAAAGAATGAGGAGGAAAACACCAGAAAGGGCTTTATTAAACTTGGAACATACATGTGTATGCATACAGCTTCCTACACTGGCATCCACTTCTGCCCCTCTGCAGCCAGAAAGAAGAAAGCTGCTTTAAACCATATCTTTGTGCTGTAAAACCCATGCTGAGACTCATCCAGCTTGGTCAGATGGGGCCTCTGCATTGCTGCCTGTGACCAGCAGCAGAAAGCAGCAACCACCAAGGGATTACTGACAAACCTGTAGCAGACTGTCTGTTGAAGTGTCTTTACTCCATGAAGTTACTTTGTTATACAAAGCCTCATTGTAACAGGACTGCACATTGCACCATGCAGAGCACTGAGGGTTCCCTTACAGTGCTTGTACTGTATTTTCTTCTGCGCATACTTGCTGAAGTTCTGTGTACTTATCCTAATATTGGCAGCTAGGGAAATAAAGAGTTCTGCTGCAGGGGAAAAAAGGTAATCAAGGGGATTTACTTCGAGACAAAATTGCAGCATCAAGAAGACTTGAGTTTTTGTTGTTTTTTTTTTTTGGTGTGTGTGTAATAAAATCTCAGTATCACCATCATTAATGCACAGTTCTGAAACACCTAAAGTGAAACATCTACAGCATCTAAACCATAGAAGTGGGAGCCAAGTGTAATGATGTTAAATATTCAACTTAACTGTAAAGAGGTAGTAGGTTTAGTTATTTTAAAAGGGGGGTTCATTGTAAGAAATTAAAAAGATGATTTTTTGCATATTCTGCAGTATCAGTTGTTTTGATACAAGTTGAGGGAGATATGATACAGCTCTAATACTGCAGAGTGGACATTAACAGCAAATTCAAGGAACCATAGACTACAATGCAGCTATTTTTTTATTTTCTTCAAAGCTTTGGAAGAGAGGACAAGGGAATGTATAAATTAAAATGTTTTTTTCTCCCTCCTACGTGTCTAAGAGTGATTTAGTAAAAATAACTCCCCATTCCTTGCCAGTCATTCACAATATGTTCTGAGGAAAAACAGGATAAGTAAGGCCTACTTACAGAAAGTTTCTGTATTATATTCCCAGACCTTGGAGGTAAAGTTGTATTTTCACTTGTATTTAGCAGATTTCCCTGTGATGGGATTTACTGGTGATTCACAGTAGTCCCATATATCAGCAGCATCAAATATCTAAGGCCATTGTTCTTTCACCAGACAAAGATTTAACAGCTGAAATAGCAATGGGGAGATTTATAATGAACCGATTCTCTTGACCTGGTTGGACAGGGCTCTGAGCAACCTGGCCTAGCAGGAGGTGGCCCTGTCTGTGGCAGGGGGCTGAAACTAGATGATATTTACAGCCCCTTCCAACCCAAACCATTCTAGGATTCCTGTATTGCCACACTTGGTGCTGAGATTAATGCATTTATAGATTATTGAACAGATGCTGGAAGCCTGATATTGAAGATGCATTCCAAAAGAACTCTTACTCTGGCTTGTCTAGAGCAGGGCTAACTTAACACGTCTTTAGTTACTTCAGCTTTTGTTATTTAAGATTGTTGTGAAGATTAATTTAACAAAAACAGTTTTTTTCTTTGCAATCCCCTTCCTTGTTAATGGAACTCTCTATCAGGGTTTATGATTTCAACAATTAAGAAAAATACATTAGGAGACCATTTCTAACTTGTATCAAATCTAATTTAAATGTTTGAGATGCCAAATCACTTTTCTATGCCTGACTAAAGGTCTGTTATATCACTCTCTTCCCAATCATGGTTAATAGAACATACCTCCACAGCAGAGCAGTGCAAGCTCTGCTATTATGTCTGTTACTTCATTGAAATGAGAGTACCTATGGTGCAGATACTTAGAATGGTGGGTTAGATTTTAGTATTTAGTGGCCTTGGATATATATTTTATTTTATATTCACTCACTGCTTATAAACCTTGCCATTTTCCTTAGCAATGAATTCTTCTTATTTATTGATCTGTAGCAATTGGCTTTCACACTGCTTCGTACTAGTTTCATTTCACACGCCTTTCATCTTACACTGGAAGGTATGTAACTGATTCCTATTTGTTCTCCCTATATCATTTCCAGTTTCATAAGCCCTTGTCATATCCCATGTAGGTCTTTACTGCAACTCATAAAAGTAGCATTTCAAAATTTAACAGTTTCAATAGACTTAAGATTTATAGGTGCTCTTTTAACAGCTCGGGCTAGAGTGCTGAGAACTATGATTCACATCATCATTTGGCATTTTAAACAGTGCCAAAGCTGTCATTTAAGATAAGTCTTTTTAAAATACATAGACAAGATAAATACCAACACCCCTTTAGATTAATGGAAAACAGTTCTATGTAGAAGTAAACCCCAAAAGGAGAATAGAAAGGTTTTGAAAAACTGATTAGCCTTATTTTTAAATCATAACTATTGAAAGTTTTTGTTCAAAAAACATTTTTCCTGGCCTTCTTTATAGTCATGTATTTCCATTTGAACATTCCGTTGAAGTCCAAGTGATAGTAATAACATAATTATATAGTCCCACAAAGCTAAATAAGTGTTAAATGCAGCTAAAACAACCCCCAAAGGCAATACAGCTTCCCAGGTCTTTTATCTTAATACTCTGTATCATTTATGTATGAAAGGTAGTTCAGGTAAAATACTAATATTTTTGTTTATTTCTTTGGCTATTCATTAATTGGGGTTTATAGTCTTTTTGAGTGAGACAGCCAGTAGCAGCAAGTCAGGGGAAGTTAAGTACTCTAAAAAAAAGAATGAATTTGTTTTTCCTTAGTATGCCTTCAGTTAGCATCCCATGAGTGTTACAAGCTTTTTGGTTTTTTTTTTGGTTGTTTTTTTTTTTTTTTTTGCCATTGGCTCTGATCTGCCTTTGTTTAATTTTAATAGAAAAACCTGTGGTTAATATTTTCCAGTATAAGGCAGAACACCAGACACTGTAAAAGGGAAAAAAAAAAATCATGCCATCCAGGTGCTACCAAACTGAATATTACAATACAGAATTAATACCTGGCCAGCCAACAGAATCCACAACTGCACATCAGTAATTACACCACACTCACTTTGCAACAGAGGTTTCAGTTAGCTACAAATAATGATTTAGAAATCCTGAGCCCCATACAGTAAGTCTGTCCAAACAATGCTCTCAGTATGGCAATCTCAGAGGCTTCTGTTTGTTGCTGGTGTGCCAAGCAGCAAATAGATTCTTCAGCTGCCTTTCAGGAGATGCTGCAGAAAGCATGTGAAAACTTCCAAGGCAATGCAGTACTGCGACAGTTACAAATTCACAGTACTGCCAGCTCTGCAGTGAGTCACTGGGCAGTCAGTCTGGCTGCAGTGGGAACCAAAGCTGACACGTGTGTGCATCTGCAAAACCAAATATCACTGTGCCTTAGTTACCTGGCTGAATAAACAAGAGCCTAAGTTTGAACTCCCAGCCTTTTAAATGCAGTTTGTACTTCACAGCCTTTGTGAAGCATGGCCTTTTGACTCACTGGAACATTGCTTTCAGCTGTAAGCCAGTTAAGATGCAATCCACAAATTGTCCATGCTGCTGAATGGAAAAAAAGCCAAGTAGAAGATTTAAAGTCACAAGACTAGTACTGTTAGAGACACTGCATATGACTTTATCAAGGAATTATTTCTTGAACCCTGGAGCATTCATGCATACATAGCACAGGTACAGTACAAGATATAACCAGTTTAAAATAGCATTTGTTGTCAGAAAGAGCTAAAGATCTTTGCGTTTTTTACACTCAAGAGTGTAAATTCTCCTACTGCTACTCCCTCATGTCCTCTCAGGAACATCACCAGACCCTAAATTGCTTCTTGCATCTGAGAGAAATCACACTGAGTAGTGCAAGACCCGTACAAGGATGACCAAGATGATAATTTGGGAGTACCTGTCAAGTCTTACCCATTCCCAAAAGTAAGAATGCCATCTGATTGTGAGGTCATGAATATTCCTTCATCAGATAAGCAGCAAAAGACAGAGCTAAGGCTATCAACAGAAATGGGTGGTAAAAAGCTCCATGCTTGAATTCCTCATTTTATTCTTTGATGTTCTGGTGCAGATATTTTGTGCAGCACAGAAGCCAAATAAGAATTTTTAATGCATTTCTTTTCTTTCATTGCTTGAAGTAAAAGGGAATTGAAAACTTGTTATCACCATGACTTCTCTAACAGCTAGTGGTAAAGGCTGTAGTTATAGCAGAGCTTTAACAATTAACCAGGTAGTATTAAAAATAATAGAGAGATAGCATCAGTTGAATAGGAAAACATCAGTACTCCTCACTAAGAAGGAAAATAGCATAACTTCAGTTGCAAGTCAAACGAGTAATAGGTAGGCACAAAACCTGAACTGTCACAGGAAATGCTATTTTTATCTGTGTAGCTTACTCTAGGGCACAGAGAGAATAAGAACATGGGAGAGAAGGCAAAATACAAGTTCTCTCTCCATTCCCCCTACCCTTTTTTAATGAAAACCAGATGTTTGTTTCATTGGGGTTTTTTGTTTCCCCGTTTTCTTCACTGATGCTATCACTTTATTTGTGAATCATTCAAGTCTGGCAATATCATATTTATTCTCCTCACACAGTAATAATAGCCTTAATAGACACGGGGAGAAAAAATTACATGGTTTTGAGCTATCTACCTCATCTAGATCAGTCTGTTACCATTATTCCTATTCAGCACAGACCTAATTTTGTTGTCTTAGTTCTATAAAAAGAATTTCTGGGACAGTATCAGCTGTAAGTCATAGAAGTCATCAGTAAGAAGTCAGAAAACAGGACACACCACTAAAAACTTGTTTTACCTTTCAGACCCATACCTCAGGGTCTCTACAAAGGAATCAAAAATCTCCAGAGAAAACAGGGAGAAGGAAGCATCACATCAACTCGGTGCTTCAGTTTTAGTCCTCTATTATGAGAGTAGGATCTGAGGAACTACTTTGAAACTTTAAAACAGCACTTGACTTCATACAGCTGTAACTACATTCCTTTACATTTTGACCAAAAAAAAACCAAAAAACCAGCTGATAGAAAAGGATATTGTACTTATGTCCAGATCATATGACTATGAGATAACATGGACAGGTTTCACAAACCTGCAGAGTTTAAGGACAGGGCAGCATTAACTGTCATGCTATAATAGCAGTTGTGCACATATATGGCTGTCTCAAGTTTTTCTGCTACTGTGTAAAGATGGAACACAAGAAGTCTCAAAGTGCAATTCTATGACATTTATTATTTAAATAGTGGATGTGCTAGTTATAAAAAGGTGACTTTGGTGTTAAATACTTCATTCAGTTTTAATTGTGTCCTCAGTCTTCACAGTGTCACTTCTTGCCCTTTTAGAGTGAACAGCAACTTACAAAATATACAGAAGAATAATAATCAAATTTTGGATTTATACAAAAAAACCTTTGGGTTCCCCTGCTTCTGCCCCAATATTTGCAATTATCTTTTCTTAGAGAGGGACTTCCTTGTTCCATGCCCTAAAGGTGAAAAAGAAAAAAAAAAAAAAATTAGGTATATATTTCACCTCCAAACAATGTCAATTTGCTTAAAAAAAAGGACTAGATATCAGTGATTGTCTTTTCCTATTGCAGGTACTGATGGTTGATATTAGAATTATGTACTCAACTTTCCAGATAGTATAAAATATGCATGAGTAGTTTTGGACTTCAGAATATCCCAGCATAACAGATAAGAGTTCCACATGAAGCTCATATCACATTCTCCATGTGCTCTTATAACTACATTGTTGAAGGTATCCAAGAAACATCAACTATTTCTGGGGAAAATACAAGAAGAGTTTTAGGACTATGCAAGTTTCCTGGATGCTTCTACTAGAAGCTGGTCAGCAATAAAAGGTTTAAAACCAATGTTTAAACAGTCTGGCTTTAGGACTGATGCAAGTTTTCACTAGTAAGATACT